AAGATGGATGCCCCAACGGTACAGAGGAACTTTGGGTGACTGTCCAGGCAGCGAGATGTCTCTGTCATTTCTAGAGTTTTGGACTTCCTATTTACTTAGGTATTATTATATCCTTCTGGAGTCTTTGATGGAGTTGAAGAATGAATAGATAGTTATAGTTTTCCTTAGTTATGATAAGAGATAAAATAGATATAAATATTGTAACTGTAATTCTTACTTGATAACTCTTTTGTTATATGTAATTTTACCATGTTAAAGTTAAAGCCTTTCTTTTTTGTTTAAACAGAAAAAGGGGAAATGATGTGGGAGTGATTTCTTATTAATAAAGAAACTGCCTAGGCCCCTTGATAGGCCCACCCTTAGGTGGGTGGAGAAAACAGAAGAGAATTCTGGGAAAAAGAATCTTAGTAGAGGAGTCGCCATGATTCTCCAGCTCCAGACAGACGCAGGTTAAGATCCTCCCTGGTAAGCCAGCTCGTGGGCTACACAGAATATTAGAAATGGGTTAGAACAATATGTAAGAGCTAGCCAATAAGAAGCTGGAACTAGCCGGGCCAGGCAGTGTTTAATAGTATACAGTTTCCGTGTAATTATTTCGGGGCATAAGCTAGCCATGCAGGCGGCCGGGTGCCGGGGATGCAGCCCTGCCGCCGCTCCTATTTCAACACATAATATACTGGGTTCTTTGTGATAGCCGTGGGAGGTGAGCCAGGCCTTTTGGGTCCCCAATGACTGGTCTCAAGGAGTTATGCAGGGCCTTTTGAATGCTTAGATGCTACCCCCACCCACCTGCCAAGAAAACAGTACCATGTTACTGGTCTTCAGAGAACATCGCTCTCTAAATTATTCATAGCCCTCCGCAGGAATAGAGTTCTTTTTCCTATTCTTTTTAGGGTTTGCAATTTATCTTCACACACAACTTTGTTGAAAGTGATAAAGGGAAATACCAGACGGGAGGGAGACCTTTCTGTCTGTCCCTGCCTCCAAACAAACTGTGTTTATGCCAAAGGCATCAACAGACAGAATCGGCACGTGGAACTCATATTCTCCTCCCGGCGTAAAACCACCCTGCCAGGAACTGAGCACTGGTGAATGAAGCCCATGGCAGAGTCAAGATTTCAACTCATGATATTAACCAAGAGGAGTTTGGCAGGTGTGTGTAACCTCAGCATACATATGCAAAGTGTTCGACATCCTCCTCTCCCCCAACAGCAATCCCAAACCCAAGCGTGACGGTTACCTTCGGCGAGCGGGTCAAGGGTGTGTATCATGAGCTGGAAGATGCTATTCCTCATAAGACTGTTGTGGAGAGAGGCAGAACTCCCACCTCGCTGGAGGCGTGGCTTCGCCTGAGCGGAGAAACCAAAGAGGTTGTTAGTTCTCAGCAATGAACACCATGTGCATCACAGAGGGGCCTCGCCCAGCCTGTGGTCACTCATCTCTGCTACATGGGCATACAAAGTTGAACCAAAGAACTTCAAAGCACCTTTCAAACGCCCCAAGGAAATGGTTTTTCTACTAAATGCATCCATTTTGACCCCCACCTCCGCCCCTTTTTAACCAAAGAGGTTGGTACAAAGCAGGCAGGGTGTGGCATGCTTCACACCAGGGATTCCATTTCGTTCTCAGAATGAGCCTCGTGGGCCCGAGGTTGTTAGTATTAACCTGAAGTCTCTGAGGAGTGAAATGAGGTTCTGGGTCACACAGACAGAAAGTGTTGGGTAGGGGCGTGGATTCCAGGTTTGCTTTTCTTAAAGACTCTTCATAACCTAGCAGATAGTCTTTAATATTTTTAGATTGTGTATTCTATCAGCAAGATCTTTGTTTGTACCTGTGTCTATGTCACCAGACGAGCTACACCATATCGTCTTACACGACTTCTGGGGTTCCTATCTCTAGCCTCTGACCCAGGAAGCTCTGAGGTCCCTGTTAAGTGAGAAACTGAAAGGGACTTTCCTATTGTGTCCCCAGAAACAGCTTCCTGGCTTCCAAGAAGCCTCCTTGGTACCAGGTCCTTCTAGTTGTATGCTCTGATAGCTGGACCCCAGTGAGCTTCAGGAGATAGGGTTATGAACAAACTTTTACTTTTTTCTTCAAAAACAGTCTTAAATCAAACCAAAGCTGCCCAAACCCTCTTTATTTGGACAGCTTTTTAATCCTGACTAGAAATGGCGTTCTTCTTTGTGGTTGAGTCTGTGGTGGTGAACACAGAGGACAGAGACAGACTTGAGGAGGAGGGCTGCTATAAGCAGATTCATTATTTGTTGATTTATTTATTTTTTATTTTTCAAGACAGGGTTTCTCTGTAGAGCCCCGACTGTCCTGATCCATGCTGTGGATCATGCTGGCCTTTAACTCACAGACATCTACCATCTACCTGCCTCGTCTCACTAAATCCACTGCCATGCCTGACTTAGATTACTTTTTTTTTTTAAAATTTAACTGTTGGTCCAAAAAATTGACAAGAAAATTTTATATGGTCTGGAAAAAATCAAAACCCCATTTTCACCAAGTCTTCAAACTTCTCCATCACAAATTTTCCATGAGACCCCACAATTAATCACATGTGGATAGGGTGATACATTGTAGGACAACTCATCTTTAGAATATTGTAACACAAAAGAAATACAGTTCCCAGTTATTGACCTTATGTCTGTTACTCCAGAAAATACTTATTAAGGGACACGGTTCAAACATTGTTGGTAAACCTAAAATCTATTGCAAGTTTGGAGTATGGGTAAAAATCTCAGTATGTAATACAGGGAGAAATCAGCAGGGATTTTATTGTAATTCTATTAAAGCTGTATTCCTAACCCATCAGAGTTCGGGGGTGAATGAAGGAGAATAGTGGTGTCTTAGTGATGAACACCGTTTGAGCTCTTCAAAGGCAGCTGGAGTGTGAGCTGTACCTTGGCCTCGAGTCTAGTGTATCCTCTGGGTGCTCAGTGAATGTCACATCTTTGCTCTGAGTGTTAATGGAAGGCAATACTACAGGGTCACCAACATTTCCATGGCGATCCCTTTCATCCTTAAAAGCCTGTAACATTTAGAAATGCCCCGTGGCATTTAGTTATAGGGGCTTCAGATCAGCGCGGTTCAAAATATTCTAGGGGCAAAAGGAGCAGACTTAAACCCAGTGGAAATGGAATAACTGTTTGTTGAACACAAAAACTCACAAGGTCATTTCCTTGCCAGGCAGCACAATAGGAAATGTCATGTGTTAATTGCAGAGCAACTGAAAACGTGGTCGTTGTTAGTAATTTGTCATAATAACCACTGCTGCTACAGTGGTTATTCTGGGAAACCACAAGAACTCTGCTGTGTGTATCTCCGTTAGACCTGAGTTATGTCCATGGAAGACACTAAGCATTCTTTCAGGCAGTATTGCATATACTGAATGTTTACGTTTCATGCAATAATGCAAAGAGGGTGTGCATGCAGACCCACAAAGAAAACATTTCTCAAGCATTAGATCCCACACTGTCCCCACATCTCAGCCAACATCCCTTGGAATGTAATTTAGACATTCTTACCCCTTTCATGCTTATAAAAGTTCAGGCCCAATGGAAGAAAGAATTCAAGATTTTGAAACATTAAGACCAGAAATAATTTATGAGTGAATGCCAGAGTTCAATTGTTAGTAATTGTAGGACAGAAGTATACACCCCCCTCCAATGGATCAAACCACAAGTATTCCAAGGGAGAGGAAGATTTGCAAGCATAGAGCCCCTTCCCACCCCTGCCAGGCACTCTCCACAGGCACAGGAACAGGCAGGGCTACTGCTCCCTACCGGTAAAGATGGCTCTTCCTTGTCCCCAGGTGTAGACGACTGCAGAAGAGGAAAGGGCAGAAACAGAAGACAAAGAAATAAATAACCAATCCCACAGAGGCATTACATTTAATAGCAATTAATTAATTAACTAAATTTACATTTAAACCAATACAGAGATGGTTAGAGATGGTTATTTCTACTTCTGGTATGAGTTCAGTTAAAGTAGGAGCACACAGTTAATTTTTTTTAGACATATGACCCATTCTCCAAAGTCAAACCTGAATTTCCACTTCCGATATCTAGTAATAAAGGGCAGTGAAATCAACTATGGCCCAGCTTTAGAATACCATGAAATCATTAAAATACATGAGATGAAGTCATACATACTGAAATGGAAATGCATCAAGGGCAAACTATTTTTAAAATCATATTTATTACGTTTCTCTAACAAAGGTGAGTAATATCTTAGTGTATGTAAAGGGAAAGATTCTGCAAGAATTTAGTGTCATGCATAGTTATTGTTGTGTGATAGGATTTCAGGGAATTAACACTTTTTATGTTTTGGGGGAGTTTACATTCATTATCCCATATGTGGGATAATAAAACAATACCTGAAGAAGTTAGGCCCTGGATTAATGACCAGGATTATCTCACATGGAACCCAGACAGGCCACCCTTTATCCTCTCTCCACCATGTAACAACCCACCCTTTACCCCCCATCCCTACTACATTACAGGTCCTATTCTACAACAGAAATATGTTCAGGTAAGAAATGTTGAACAGAAGGGCAGGTCATCCGCCTAGAAAGAACACCAGACAAAGGCACACTGGAATTCCATTGGTGTGACCCGAATGGATGGCTTGGCTCCCTTATCTCAAAGGACATTTCCTTCTTACATAGAGTGAGGGCCATTCTTGGGCCTTTCCCATGATGTACAGGTTCTTTGGAAGCTCCACAAGCTCCACTTCCCCTGTCTCTTTATCCTAACCATGGGTGGTTGCAGCAAGAACAAAGCAGAACCTCAACCTCCTTCGTCTGGGCAACCTCTGGTCCTTCTTAGGGAGCCTGAGCAGACATGAGTCTGTGGTAATAATAATATACGTAAAGAAGGGGTGCAGTGCTGTCTGAAAAATCTTCACCAGTGCACGCTCTCCAGTTTTAGATCCTACCATACACATCATATAAAGAATGATATGCAGGGGCTGGAGAGATGGCTTAGTGGTTAAGATCACTGGCAGCTCTTCCAGAGGTCCTGAGTTCAATTCCCAGCAACCACATGGTGGCTCAGACCCATCTCTAATGAGATCCAGTGCACTCTTCTGGCCTGCAGGCAGACATACAGACAGAAAACTGTATACATAATAAATAAATCAATCTTAAAAAACATAATGATTTTCTTCCATATTCTATATGCAATGTGTTCCCTTGTGGGATAGATGGAGAGGAAATGGCTGTCTATGTGCCACTTATGATTGGCATGCTCAAAATCTTAGAAAGTAAGAAAACTGAATCCATTTATTTCTTCTCTTGTGTGATATAATGAGATAAATTTTGATCTTTAAAAATATATTTATTTTATATGTATGGGTATTTTGTATGCATGTATGTTTGTGTATCATGTACATGCCTGGCTCCCTCAGACATGGGTATGGGGTCCCCTGAGACTGGAGTTATAGACAACTGTGAGTCACAATGTGGGGGCCGGGGACTGAAGTGGGGTCCTCTGGAAGAACAACCAGTGCTCTTAACAGCTGAGTCATCTTTCCAGTAGTACGCACGATATAATTTTTAAGACTAATAAATTTGTTACTTAATAAAGTTGACGTTAAATATTTCACAGACATTCAATCAAATATTTTAACGATCTTAATTTTGTTGAAATCCCTTTTTGGACCTTGAAATCAATGCAATGTATGTTCCCTTCTGTTTCTAAACATTGTTACAGATTCATGTAGAACCTGTGTGTGTCAGACACAGACAGACAGACAGACATACAGATAAGGTCTGGGGTGGTGAAAATTTCCCAGAACAGTCCATGGGTATCAGTAAATTTGCCATAACCCTTTCTTTGGGGGTTATCTCTCAGTGACTTCTTGAAAAATACCACAAGACACTACCTCCGATGCCCTGGTTGCCAAGAACGGCCTTGGAAATGGAAGCGGACTGGAAGTTGTCCTTTGATTTCTTGCTCTGCTCTGAGAGGCACTCTGTGAGTCCATTGTGCAAAGGCAGGTTCTTTGTTCTTCCACATCAGACAGCTCAACAAACGGCTCCACATTCTACAGAGTAGCCCTCCGGGGAAATTTCCCAGTGCAGCTAGCTTAGCCTTTGGACACACATTGGGACTAGCTGCCAGAACACGCCTTTACAGTTAGCTAATTTATACCTGGTGGCTAAACGGGAAGCAAAGAACCGTGAGGCGGACTGATATGTCAGGACAAAAAGAACGGAATGAAACCGCGGAAGAATAAAGGGCGCGCTTCAGAAGAGCAAAAATGCTCAGCTGAGTGTTTGAATTTTTAAAAGCACGTGTAACGTAATTATTTGAGGAAGAAAAATAAAAAAAACAAGACT